CACTGGGCTGCACACTGGGCTGTGAAGGGGCTTATTCAAGACAAATAAGATGTGATATCTACCCTGAAGAAATTTTATTGCTGTATCAGTTTTATTTGTATTATTATTTTTTTATTGCACATTCACAGTATACCTTCTTACAATAGTTTTTTATACCCCTACATTTACTAGCTCTGGAAAGTGACTTAAGGCAGCTATAAGTTTGAAATTGATCTAGCCAACTTTGCTTCTTCCACGGACTGAATAACTGATACTAAATTCTGAAACTTCAAAAGCTACTTGATGGATGTGGTCAGTTAGGATTACATTTAGCTGCAGGAAACAGAAAAAACCCACCTATAGTGGCTTAAGCAAATAAGGGCTGATTTTTCTCACATAACAAACTGCATTAGAGGTAGGTGGTGGTTCCTGAATCAGTACCAGCTCCCTGATGTGAGGACCGTATCTCCAACTCTCTCACTGAGTGTCACTTTATGACTGCAGTGTGACTACCACAACTCCAGGTAACAATTATAAGTTCCGGGTGGGCGGAGAAGAAGGAGAAGGTGATGCTAGCCTTATCCGTTCCTATTTGTTAGGAAAGAAAATGTTCTGCCAGAAGCCCCCAGAGCAGACTCACCCACATCTCATTGGCCAGATCTATAGCACTTGGTTCCTCCTAGCAGCAAAGTAGGATGAGATGAGAGGTATTTGGTTTGCTCTGAATAAAATCAAAATCTGTTAGCGAGAAAGGAGTGGGACAGGCTTTGATAATTTTTCTGGTATTTTTTTAACAGCTATAGAAGAAAATAATCATTAGTTCACCACCATAAATGGATTCCTGAAGTGCAGTATCCAATATACCAGCAAGAGTCACTAGTTCTATTCAAGTATCTAGCTGCCAAAATGTTTAGATGTCTCCTTTTGCTATCATGGTGGACTAGATACTGTCAGAGGCCATGTCACTATTTAGAATCAGCTGAAAAGATAAGTTCCTTTGCAGTTTTGAGCTTACTGGAAGGGAAGAGAAATCTACAAAGAGGAAAAAAAGATGATGCGCTAAACTAGAGCAGCAGTGCCCTGAAGTTCAGTGCCGTTACTGGTGTCTCCACCTCAAAGCTCAGGGAGGCCGAGCTGGGGGTCAGCAGTGAGGTGGGATGGCTGAGCTTCAGACTCCTGGGTTCTGCCAGGGGCCCCACAAAGGGCTAGACTTGTCTCAGAGCAGAAGGAAGTGCCTATCTTCTCTAGAGAAAAGTGTCTTCTCAGCTCAAGATAATCAAATATGAGCTTACAATCAAAGATGAACAATGAAAATTAAAAGAATGAGATTCATCCAAAAAAATGATTTGGACCCTCAATAACTTTGAGTTTCAATTACCAGGTAAGGAATAAACTAACTATATATGAAAATATTTAAAGAAATAAATGACAGTAATGAAATAATAAACTATAAAAAAATTTCACGGCAGTTTTGAAAAATATTTAAATAGAACTTTTAGAAATAAAACTATAGTTTTTGAAAAGAATTAGTATACTGGAAGACAGGTCTGAAAAAAATTACCACTAGCACATCACAGGGAGATAAGAAAAGTGACATGGAAGACAGAATGAGGACTAACTTTCAAAAAAAGCAAAAAATGGTTAATGGAAAGGCAATATCTGAAGAATTATTGACTAAAATTTTTCCAGCATCAGTGAAAGACATCTGTTCACAGAGCAGAAAGCGTAAGTATTAAGCAGAAGCGATAACAAAGAAGTCTGCATTTATATGGACCATGAGGAAAATGCAGCACATCAAAGATAAGATCTTAAAAGTAACCAGAGAAAAAACACAGATGACTGACAAAGAAAATTAAGATTAGAATGAGAGTAGATTTTTTTTAATAGCAACATGGAAGCCAGAAGAGAGGAGTCTAATATCTTTAAACTGATAAGGAAGGTAACAGGAAACCTCAAATTAGAGCAAAACTTTTTGTGTAATTGAAAAAAATCTTTCCACAATGAAAACACCAGGCCAGATGGTTTTCTAGGAGAGTGATAACAAACTTTCTAGAACAAATCATTTCTATCTTATACAAACTCCTCCAGAGATCAGAAAAAGGAAATACCAACTCTTCAGATCCTAAAATCAGGCAAGAATACAAAGAAAAGGACAGTTATAAACCAGTCTTACTTATTACATAGATGCAAAGATCTTTCTAAAATGTGCAGAGTGAATCT